GTACTAGCTAGCTTTCAGTTTCATCAGACTCAGTTAAGGGTAGTGGCGAGTTCATAAAAGTTTAACAACCCTGAATTGCAGCATTTACCAATTTTTGTGATACTTCCACTACAGCCATTTTCAAGCTACTCATTTGATGCCACTAAATGTGGATTTTGGAACAGATGCACAAAATCAGCTCTCATGAACTGGTAAGAGCTGGCTGCAGCACACCACAGGCTAGAACACAACTTTTAGAGAAAAGTGATCTTGTGTAATCTGTCAAATGTAATTGTACAAATTATACGCATAATAAATGTGTTTCATGGTTCCTTTTAGAAATTGGACATTTAAAACCTTAAACTTTTTATCTCAAACAAAGTATAAATTCCCTAACAATTCACAGTGAGAGATAAATACTATTATATGGATAAAGTTAAATGCATGAATATTCTCCAATCCTATTGTTGTCCTTTAATATCCATATTATATCAAATCTTTAATTAAGACATAAAACAAGTTAAAAAAAGAGAGAATTTCACTTTTTCTTACTATTTCTGTTTCCATTTTTACCCACAGCAATGCCTAAAAGTCACAGATAATTCACAATCTGAAAAATAAACATTTACAGATACAATACAAAACAAATATGTAAAAAGTCTTGAAATAATATTTAAAATAATTCACCTTCTTTGGTAGAAATTAGTATATTTGGTTCCCTTTTTGCATATGTATTTTGTGCAAGGATCTCAAATTCTGTTTCTGAGGGCCTATTATGTGCTAGGTGCTATTCAAGATACCGGTAAACAGAAATGGACAAAACAATGATCTCTAACCTCATGGGCTTATGTTTAGGGGAAAGGGAACAATAAAGAAAACAAGGAAAATATATAATATGATAAATAGGAATTATTGCTTAGAAGATAAAATAGGAGAGGGAAATATTATGAACTTGAGAGTAAACTTTTAGGCTAATTGATAAAGAAATTGCTGCAATAGCAAAGAGGAATCACCCTAGGTCTTGACCTTTGCCTTGTCGTAGTCTATGAAGAACTCTACTGACCAACTCATGTACCCAAAACTAGTTCTGAAAAACAGCAAATTTCTAAAGCACTTGAATAGGCATTTATTTAGTCTGAGACTACAGAAGAAAGAAAACACATCTAATGATGCATTTAAGAGATAGAGTCTGCAAAGGGACATTGAATAATGAGACAGGAGAGAAGTTTCTTTTGTCTTTGCTGAGAAAGGCCCAGGGAGGAGAAGGTCAGCAGTAACAAAGGAGAGAAGAAAGCATATATTTTTCCTTGGGTCCTAATTTTTTGCAAATTTAAAAAATAAAAAGGTTACACATGTTGAAGATTTTATGTGAAGATTTTATGTAAAGATTTTGGGATAATGAATTTAAATTAGTCTTGAAAGTTGGAATATATTGACACTAACAGTGAGGTACATTATTTTCTGATTAATGAAAAATCCGAAATATTTTGAGTGTAACTATCATAGAGTATCTATAATAGGAAGAATATGAGTACATGTAAAATAAAGAAATGGGTAAAAACTTCTTGACTATATTTTGGTGAGATGTAATGTACAATCTCTCCAAACCAACTACTTATATTGAAAAAGTCATGAAGTTAAAAATTATTAAACATATGAAATTTTACTCAATTCCAATTATGTAGTATACCATGAACATGCAAAATACATATGTTTCAATGGCTATGAGTTCTGTCTTTTAGTTTAGAATGCAAGAACTTTGATATTACCTCTGCAGTATAGTAAACGCTGAGATAGTAGGGAGGTGAAGATTTGGCCAGATTCAAAACAGAGCAAGGAAATGGATTCGATCTTGGTGATTTAGAATGTGGGAACTCATGTCGACTTTAGGATATGCACTTGAGTGAATTTTACTTAAACAAAGGGAAAGCTGGCAAATGAATGTTTCAGAAAGAGTTAAAGCTTGCCTCATATGCTATCTATGGAGCAAGAGAATCCAATTTGATAACATTTGAAGGGGAAAATTGTACCAAAAAATTACAAAGAGCTTTTGCTCCCTAAAAAGGGTTGTTTGGCAAAGTGCCTGCTTTCACATTAGATTCCACTTATGATGTTTTCATTATAGAATTTATTTTTCTGCTTTTTTTTTTTTTTTTTAAATTTCCCAAGCTTAACATAAAAGTATTTCTACAGAATTATTTATATTTTATCTCATTCTCGTTATGGTAGTTCCTAAAATAAAATACACAAATGCTTATTGGTTTTGCTGCTTTTTAATGCTATGGAATCCTGCATACTGTGTATACAGTAATAGGGAAATTAAAAATTCCATGAGAGGAAAAAAATTAAGACACATAAAAATATGGGAAAATATATTGATTTTTTAAATTATTAATTTTAGATTTTTATGATAAAACATATCAATTGTATGTCCGTCTCTATTGTCTTAAATATCATCAAGCACATATCTCTTTATAGAGAAGAGAAAAACTGGGATAATTACTAATATTCCAAATTCTGTCAAACCAAAAACTTGCTGCAATTTCTCCTCATGACACTGATCTCAGACATTTATTCTCAGTAAAATAAGTGAAGAAATTAGTAACTGTCTAATTGGTGAAACTCTTGGGGTAGTTGTATAAAGTTCATTACTGTTCAGACATTTAATAGGCAAATGTCCTCTCGGCAACTCCAAATGGCTGCAGTTCCTATTGAATACAATTCTCTTTTCAAGCCATTGATGTGAAATGATTCTATTGACACTAACTTTTGAAGAAAACCTTTAGTTGAAGGGAACTATGTCCAACATTTATCTCTATTGGTGGATTTTTTTCATTTTATATATTCTTCTTTTATTTTTTATGTGAGAAGGAAAAAACAAAATCAGATCAAACACATCTGTAGAACAAAGCACGAGGGTTCACACTAATGTGCAGGGATGAGAAGATTTTGCTCTAATTTGCTCTCAAAAGCCCTGATGCTTTTTCCCATACCCCATATACAGGCATGACAGTGGATACCTCAGCCACTTTTGCACAATGCTTAAGAAATGTGTTTCTCACTTAAATTGCAGTTTCCACACTTTTCTGAACATATCTCTTAAACTTTTTTTGTCTTCCTTGCCTTTTTTTGAAAAGAAATAGAAAGTAAGTTTAGAAATAAGCATGAGTGGAATAACTTGTTAGATTTGGAGATGGAGCAGTACTTTTCATTCTTCCAGGCATGTATTTGAAAAGAATTTGCACCTAAGTTGCCTTGACTGACTGTTTCTATTCCAAGTTAAGTCATGATACCAGTTGAGTAAAGACACCCAGAAAACCCTTCTGAGCATTGCAAGGTTTCTCTTCCCTTTGGCGTTTGAAGTCAATACTGACAACATATCTACTGTCCACTGGTCCTTTAATCAGTGTCCAGACTATCCGATGAGAATAGCCCCAGGATGGAGCCCCAGACCAGGCCATGAGCAGCACCCTTTTGTCCCTCTCACATGGATGGGACATGATTCCACAGGATTAGCCAACAATTATATGCTCTGAACTGATCAATTCAGTCAATTTACTGTGCAAAGTAAATTGATCCTTCAGAACAAAGGGTTCTGTCAGCAGGGAGCTACCTGAGAAAGCAGCATGCCTGTGTAAACAGTTCTGTCCTTGTCCCAGTGTGGAGTGGCCCTGCGCCATATGGTGCCACTATGAACTTATTAGCTGACGGATTAACTGATCTCTGCATTTGGGATCCCCAGTTTCCAGCTGTGAGAATGATTGATGGGCTAACTACTGCTCCAGTCTTGGAAGTTATTTCCTCCATTTAACAGAGTCAAGAAGACAGAAAATTGCCCCCTTTGTAAATGCTAATCTCACCACTCCTTCGAACACCCAACATAGCAATTTATTCAAGGCAAAGTCTTAAAATTGGTATAGTGCACATCAAATGCATACTAATTAGCAATTTCTTTTGAAGGCTCCATCACTTATTAAGGGTCTCCTTTTCCATATGTTCATCATGCCCCACTTCACCCTTTAATTACAAAACAGCACTTTCAACTAATTGTGAGAAGGTATATTGTGCCCGGAATCTGTATTAAACTCTATACCTTCTGATGCCTAATTTAGGGTCATATCGAAGGCAGACAGATAAGCAGGCAAAAAAGCTTACAACTGTCATCTGCAATTTTAGGCATATTTGGGTGTTGTTCAGAAAGAACATTTTATCTAAGATGCCAGCTATGACATTCATCAGTGGGCATCACCACAAGCACTGAGTAGAAAGAAGGGAATTAATTCTAGGTTAATAAATAGAATCGTTCCTTCTTTGAGGGAAGCCCACATAAACTCGACAGATACATGATAATATTATTTGTAACTTTGTAATTTCTTCACCTATATATATGTAAAAGGACCACACAATTTTAAAAGGTTAATAGCCTGTTATTTAAATATGTATATCATAGTTGCACTATAGAGAGGGGAATTTTGCAAAATACACCTGCATAACACTTAAAATAAATGCCTCTCCTCTTGGGAAATGTTGATGTTTTCCGTCATTAAATAAAACCCAAATTCTCTAAGTCACCTAGATAACTCTAACCTTGATCCCAAGTATATGTCTGTCATTTATCATCCTCCCTAGAATGTTTTATGATAAAGACCTAGTCAGCTCCTTTCTCTGGACCTCTTTTTCTACAGAATTTTCTAGACAATCTAGTGATACTTCCTTGTTGATGTTGGTTCCCAGAGATAGAACTTGTGGGAGTTTATGGTTCAGGTATATATAGGCTACAATATGGAGACAGACCCAAAGAAACCTTTGGATTTGGGGTGGAGAAAGGGGAGATAAGGGATTCGCACTGTAAAAGCAGTTCATTTTTTCACAAGTCTTCAGTGAACCTTACTTCATCAGATAACAGTAGAACCCTGTAAATAAGCCAAGGAGCCAGACCGATCAATCTATCTTTAAATTAAGACTACTTTGATGTAGCCTTCAAAACCATTCCTAAATTTGCAGTTGATGTATGGCAGAGATGGGAAAACCATGAATGGCAAAGTAAGTATAGACCCTGTTTTTTTTTTTCTCTAGAAATTAACTGCAAAGATTCTTGAGCAGACCCTTGGTTGTTTGTTGTCTTCAGCCAAATGTCTTTATTCAAACCAAAATTGCATCTTTTTATGTTGGTTATTAAACTTCAATATCCAAACTCTCTGATTCAGAATCACTCCTTCAGACTGTGGTTTGGTAGATTCCAGTCAAGATTTATCCAGGGTTTTAATCCTCCTTTTAGCCTTGTGTTTTTGGCCAGATTTTGACCTTTTTGAATCTCAGCTTCCTCATCTGAGATCATGAAGGGAATTATATCTCTCCTCAAAGGTTTGGCTTATATCTGGTGTGCTGATAGGTGAGTATGTTGGTTTAGCATGAAACAGAGTTGGAGGCTAAGACTTTCCTTTGCTTCTCCTTCCTTTCATTTACTAACCACTTTAGCAACTTCAGTTTATCAGTTCAGTACCACACTTACCATTTAGGTATCTTCTGCAGAGAAAGAACCTGAGTATTTCTCTTCCCTAAAGAGAGCAGAAAGAAACTGTCATTAAAATAGAGGGAAAATAAAAAATACCATATTATCTTCTTTCAAGCAATATAACATATACCAAATATTAATGTAGTGTGTGTGGTGGGGGGTCAATCATTTATTTTAAAATGACTTTCTGAAATTGCATGCCTTGCGCCTTTCCTCTTTTCTTTCATTTCTTCACGTTTTTTCCTTTCTTTTCTTCCATATCACATTTCTTATCTTTTCTTACATTTTCTTAACATCTTTCATTTCCTTTTCATCTTCATCTTTCTTCTTTCTTTCTTTCTTTCAATTCTTTCTTCTTTTTCTCTTTTCTTTCTTTATCTTTCGTTCTTCTTCTTTCTCTTGTCTTCTCTCGTTATCTTTCTTTTCTTTCTTTCCTCTTTTCTTTTCCTTTTCTTTTTTTCTTTGAAGAGAGTCTCAATCTTTCGCCCAGGCAGGAACTCAGTGGGTGTAATCCCTGACCACATCTCCTCTCGCTTCTCAGGTTCAAGCAATTACTCGCTGTCTCAACCTCCCGAGTAGCTGCGGATTACGGGTGGTGCACCACCACATTCCAGCTAATTTTTGTATTTTTAATAGAGACGGGGTTTCACCATGTTGGTCAGTCTGGTCTTGAACTCCTGATCTCAGGTATCCACCCACCTCAGCCTCCCAAAGTGCTGGGATTACAGGTGTGAGCCACGGCACCTGGCTTGGTTGCTCTTTCTTTAATAAACAGTTGAATTTTCATATTGAAATATGATGTGTGCAAAGAGAACAACTCATGTGATACTGGAATTAGAGGATGATCACTATATTTATGAAAAACTGGTGTCAAAGGAAAGTTGAGGAAGTCATCTGTATAAACCTGGCAAATAATTGTAAGGTAAGAATGATTTTAGCATTTTTTTATATTTTATGAGTCTAACATTCTTAGCAAATTTATACTGAATTGAATTTTAGGGAGACAAATAGACCCCTCCAAATATCCTCAAACACACTAGACAGTCACTTTATTTTGACTTTGAAAATCTGACCATAATAAATGCTTTTATTTATAGAAATCTTCATAATATTTTAACAGTCAGGTTAGATATACTTTGTTGGGATATCAAGAAGGTAAGCCACAATTTGTTCTTTGAAAGAAAATATGCAAATTCTGTTTCTAATTATTCATGCTAATTAGGTGGTTTACTCGAAAAAAGTGTGTTACAGATAAATGATTTACATTTGGTTGAAAAATACAGTCTATTACTTTTTCATCAGATTTATCGTTTCCTTTGCCTTCCCTGCCCTCATTCAGGCAATTCTTTTAGCCAAATGTCAGCAAGCTTAATTTCCACCTCTGTATCAGATTATTCTAGAATGATCACATGTTTAAGAGTGATAAAGGTGCCACAATATTTCAAAAAGTTGTTCCTTATTTGCTGTTTATTTTTTTACCCATGGGAGAAACTATGAATTATATATCATTCAAGTTAAAGAACCTCTACCTGTAAGTGTCAGGGGAATTTTACCTTTGAAAAACCTCTCCTTTCATCCCAACCAGTTTTTGGATTCCAAGTGACATGAGGGTAAGGAGCCTCTTTTATACATCTGTACATATCTGGTCTTTTAAAAAGAATAAGTGCTCAATGAATGTGGTTGAATGAAAGAGATAGTCATGGTCTATGAGAAGCATAGCTATTTGCTATCACATAGGACAAGAGTACCAAAGAACATTTGCAATATATACCAGTCTTGTACGGTATTCTGAGCCTTATTTAATGAGTTTTAAAATTGTGACTTTTACAGAGCCCAGTCAACCTCCACTCACCTCCTCTCATTCGCTCCAAACATCTGCTTCACAAAGATTGAGTATAGATGATCACTGATTCTGTATGGGCTACTTCACATAATTTTGATCTGATCCTTTTTCACTACCCTTATTTGTGTGTATGTGTGCGTAAATAACAAGAGTGGGGTGGGTGGGTAGGTAAGTAGGTGAAAAATTTCTCCCTCCAAAGATTAACTGATTTTTTTATTTGGGGAATTTTTAGTGAATATGTATCAATTCATTTGATATTACAGAATGCAACAAACGTTTTCAGATTAGCTTGATGTTCATCTTTTGAGTTCTCAAAAGCTATACTTCACATTTCCTGAGAGTTATATTTTGAACCAGAATTTACTCCTTAGTTTCACATAATTTTTTTCAGTTTTTGGACTATTAAATTTTATAGTTCAAGGATTATTGCTGAGTGCTGTTTGCCTTCATGAGACTAATAATATTCCCGTGTTGAAAGTGGTATATTTTAAGTGATATATATATTCACAGCATAAAAATGTAAAGTACCTAAGTCATCACCAGAGGATTTTCCAGTTTTAAAAATCTTCACAAGTTTACATACTAAAGTTTTCTTGAAAGAAGAAAATCACTTTGACTATTACTTTGTATTTTTTTTTTTAAATCAGTCACACAAAGGAAGGCAGGCAATGGTCGTGGAACAATCAAGTGATTACCTCATATGTGTCATCATTTGGATAATACATGAATATACAACAAACAGTTGACCAACTGTAGAGCTCCTTCTCAGCCACAAATGTATAAATTCGGTAAGATCAACAGTACTGTGATAGTGACATTGCTTTCATAATAGAAAATAAGTAGTTCTTAAGAATAACCAGATCAGAAATGTGCCTCAAATACATTACCAATGAAAAAGAAGATTACATAAGTAATGAAACATATATGAGATTCCAGTATTTTCAATTTGGTGGGAATTTTTGAAATTTACTCCTAAAATTTCTAGAAATGAATGCAAAGTTACCCAAGGAAATGATTAATAATATGAGGATTATATTGGGAACTATTCCTATTTTGGAAAATAAATCATAACTAGCATTTCGTACTGTATTTAGAGGTGTTTTGTCTTCTTTTTTGAAAGGGCCTTACACTTCCTATCTCCTTTCAAATATTTGTTATGACAGTGTTCTTCATTCGAATGAATAGAGATACTTTTCATTCATTTGGATAAAACCAGTATTGAAACATTTTTAGACTAACTCTTTTGCACACTTCTTTTAAACTAGAGATTGAGGAAAGAAATATGAAAATTGTACACCTTTATTTTTTATTCATTACTGTCTTGAAAGACTTAAAATGTTCTTTTTTTTTCCTAATGGCAGCTGGATGAACAGCTCATATGCCAACTTAAAATCTGAATCAACATGAAATGACTGAAATTCTAAGCCTAAAAAAATTACTGTTTATAATGGAAACTCAAACATAATAGTCCATGATGGAAATTCAGTCACCATAGTCAGGTGGATGGTGATGCTGCAATAAGCAAATGTAATTAAGCTGTCTATAGCAGGAAGAGAGTTGACTAATCATTCTTGGGGAGACTTATTGCTATCATTTTTAAAATTATTTTTTCTTAATTATCCTCAGGTATTTCACTTTCAGCTACAACTTAATGCAGATAAAACCTACTTCTGATTTCTCTTAATTACTAATGCTGTAAAGATGTTGCATCTTTTCCAAGCTCCCTTACAACCAACTTTCAAATCAATTTAGGCATCTTAAAAGCATTTCTAAAATACCAGATGCTCTGTCAGCTGCACAGAACAATGTGTTAATAATTATATTTCTCTTTCTTACAGCAGATCAAAGCCAGAGATGAGGTGACATACACCTAAGATATTCAAACTCCAGCTTGAAGGTCAATTGGATCTGCCGACATATGTTGCTGATTTTGTAACATGAAAGCCAGCTAAGAAAAACAGATCAGTGAATGCATATTCTTCGTATTCTTAATTTCAGCCCTATCCAAATGTTTACAGAATAGTTTGAAGAGATTTGCAGTTTCTTGTTATCAGTCTTATTAAGCCTTGGCAAACCTTTAATAACAAGTCTATCAACAACCCACCAGGGATTTGATTTTAGTCTTAGAGTGCCTGAATTTTTACGCTATTGAACAATTTTTAATTGGAAGCACCAGGACCTTTTCTGATCAGTTGTCCACATTGCCTCATGAATGTGTGGCATTCATGCTCAGCTTGAAAAGGCAATGGCAGCTGGGGAAAAAATAAGGCTTTGTGTAAGCCGAGAAGAGGGCAGGCAGGCAGGCAAACAGCAAGATTCCCCTAGAAGTAGCTTTAGTGTGGGTGTTTTAAGCCACACAGAAAAAAGTAAACTAGAACAATTACCACCTTGCACTTGCTTTATGTTTCCATGGTTTAACTTAAAACATTGGCACAAGGAGACAGCTACCATTCTAAAGCCAGAGCACCTCAGTTAAGCTAGAATTGTGGGTCAGATCCATGTCTGTCAACTACATAGCACACTTGGAATTGCAATTTACAAAGAGAGAAAAATAATATGGTAACAGTTTCCCCACTAGTAAATCCTACACACCCATGCCAGGGGAATTTTATCATGGTTATTCAAATGTCAAAACCTTCACGGATTTCCATCTGCTCTTAGAGTAAAATATCAACTTCTACATTTGTGTTTCAAAGCCCTCTCTAAAATAACCAATCCTACACATCCAGTTCTGCATGAGAGTCAGGGCTCTAAAGCCAGATCATCTGGGCTCAAACTCTACCTCCATTGTTTTCCAAGCTCTATCACCTTGCACAAGTCACTTAACCTCTGTGTGCCTTTCTCTTCTCCTTGCAAAATGCAGATAGAACATTGCCTCTATTACATGGCTGTTATGAAGATTAACTAAGTTAATATGTGAATGTTCTTAAACTGGCCTAGCACTTAGTGAGAATAAGCACGTATAAATACTTGAGTAAGGGATGTCCCACTGTACTACAGTGCATTATGTTCCTTCCTTTCTCTTTCTACTCATGGTTTTCTGTCTACTTAAAATTCTTTGCAAGGTTAGAAATGGAAGTAGTCAGAAATCAGAAAGCTAGCTAGAATGAAAATCACTGAAGCATAAAGACTAGATTGTCCTTCCAGAAGAAGGGTCCCCTCAGAATTCTCCCAGAACTTTCCAGCCTCTATACATTTGC